ATCTTCCTTTGGTCTCCAAGGTGCCACTGGACTTGAATCTAGCTGTCCCACTGAAAAGATATGCTTGTTTTTCACACTCCTGCACAGCAAAACATGATGCATGATCTCCCACATAAGACAATCTCACAAGTCCTGTTCTGGTGACAATGCTGAGATATCCAAAATGCAACTTAACCACAGTCATCATTACCACAGAGAAAAATCCTGGCTGCATAAGTTCTTGAATATGAGAATGGATGAGCAAAGAACAGACTTGGAGTGTGTGTGTGAGAGAGAGAGTGAAATGCGTAGATGAGTTATTGGTTTTTCTGTACTTGTTAAGGCATTGTACTATTGTGATAATATTGCAGGCAGTGCTGGGACCCAAAATTCTGAGGCAGGTATCATGGAACTCCTTCATTGTCCTATGCGTTGGGGATGCTATTTAAATGCTAAACATCTTTATGACATCAGGGTTGCCTTCAGGCCCGTAGCTAACATGGGGCCCACGGGGCCCGGCCCCCTTGTGTTTCTTCTGGGCCCCCTCCCTCCAGGGCTGCCCCCAAAGTGCTCCAACTTACCACCTGCACTGTACTTCCATTTAATTAGCTGGCGGGGCCCCCCCAAGGCCCCCCCCCAAAGAATTCCCTAGCTACGGGGCTGGTTGCCTTAGCAACAGATGGACTTCCCACAGGAGAAGCACAGAATAGAGTATAAGATATATTTTTTTAAATAGAGTTGAACAGAGTGAAGCTAAAAAATGGTATGTGAGCCAGAAATGAAAGATGTGCTGTGAAGTGTTCTTTCTGACAAAAAAGATTTTACAAGAGTTTCTTGGGGAAATAAGTACAGTAAAGGAATAAAATTTAGTGGCCACTATTTCCCGTGCACCCTGTTTGTTTACATTCTGTGCGCCATTCCTAAAATACCAGTGAAAAACCAGCATGCAGACAAATCCCACCTTTACAGAGAGCTCAGACTTGCTCTCAGAGTTCACTGGGAGCATACCTGCCCAGAGTAGAAATCACAAACATGTTGGTTCAGTCTATGTTGCATGTTTTGCTTCCTCCCAGAACTTTCATGGCATTGTACTACCACACCATCTGGTGGCCTTTGCTTAGAAAAACATTCAACAAATGTCCTCAAGCAGTCCCTGCCAAGTGAGGACATTTTCCTTAGTATGTCTGGAAGAATTCCACAATGATACATATCTACTTTTGAGACTTTCCTCAACAAGCAAACAGATGACAGATTAATATAACAAAATACATATTAAAACAACTCAAGGAGTGCCATGTCTATAAAGCACAGAACAAAAGGAATTTAGATTTGTTTAGGGCCTGGCTATCATCAGGCAGGGTGAAATGTTTTGCTCCAGACAGCAGATTTGATAGGACAGCAACTGGTCAATTATTTAAGCTACATTACGGGTGCGTCCAGATGGCGTGGTGACAGTGGTTTAAACTGGTTCGGTCCTGATGTGATTATCTTTGATCTGGATAATCGAAATCACACTTACTTCCCTTATCCCGCCTCACCCCGCAGTCACATCGCTCCCTGCTGTCTACACTACCGACGCATGGGAGCCCGTGTCAGGTTTTTAAACTTTTTTCTCCATTTGTGCATGCGCATAAGCACTCATCTGTAGATTGGAAAAAAACTTATCCTCACGCATGCGCAGAACAAGTAGGGCGAATCACAGCTTTCATCTGACAGTTCCGCAGAGCACCGTGATTTCACTCACATAACTGTATCAATCCGCCTGAGTTGTCCAGTCCTCTATAAAAACCTTTTCCTGCTCATATCTGACATTTGCTCTGAGGGAACAACATGAATCTGACAGCTCAGATTTTCCTTATAGTGGCCTGTCATCTGCACCACAGGTTGACAGCCATGAGAGTGAGGGGGCTGATATACCTCAGACGTAGGGGAGCCAGACTGAGGGACTTCGTGCTTTCAGAGTCCCTTGACATGGCCCATCTCCTCACACTGGCAGAACAAGGAGCCCCACATCATTGGTGGGTCTATCCTTGACCAGCTCAACTGTGGACTGTCTATCCCTGGGTCATATGGGAGGATGAGCAGTGGTTACAAAATTTCAGGATGACTAGGGCCACCTTCCTGTGGCTGGTGGACTCTCTGAGGCCACATTTTCAGCATGAGGGAACAGCCATGAGGGACCCCATGCCTGTAGAGGAGTGTGTGGCCAATACCACATGCTATTATGTGGTTGGCGCCCTATTTGGCATAGCAAGATCAACTGTGGTCGGAATAGTGGTGGAAGTCTGCCTAGCTATCGAGGCACAGTTGTTGAGTTGCACTGTATGTCTGCGATCACCTGGATGGATAAGCATCTCCCATGTAAAGCAAATGCATGACAGAAATGAGGTGTTTTCTATCATATGTCCTTTCAGGCACAGAGGATGTAATGGTGACCAGTCAGTGACATCTGTGGATGACCACTACTGTGGTAATGTCCAGATGTCAATTACTACAAAAGAGAGCTGGAAGTGATAATTCTCAAGATTTATAACAGGACTTCCAGAGGTGTCAGTGATGCAGCCATGGTTGTGTTGAGTGTTCCCTCTAAGCTGAGTTAGTGTGAGCTAGCTCGCAGGATTTTAGCCTCAGGCTCAAAATTCTTTGTCTTAGCTCAGGAAGCACACTTAGCTCTAGAGCACACTAATTTATGCAGTAGCCAAACTCACAACTTCAATGCCAGTAGCTCACACAAGGTAGATTTTTTGCTCACAAGATTCCACAGCTTAGAGGGAGCATTGGTGGTTTTATATGTGTGTCGAACAATGCCATAAGCAGGGCTATTTTGGGGCAGGAACGCACAGGAACGGAGTTCCGGCTGGCTTCAGAGTTGGCTACGCCCACTACAGCCAAAACATCTGCGTGCCTGGCTACAGAGGGAAGGCCTGGAGAGCGACCCCCCTGGCGACTCCGAGGCAGTCGCGGGGCGCCCAGGCAAGCCAAGGGAAGGCATGGGGTGTGGCCTAATATGCTAATAAACTGTGCTGTCATGGGCATGGCCTAATATGCTAATGAGTTCCTGCTGGGCTTTTTCTACAAAAAAAGCCCTGGCCATAAGTTACAACTGTGGCACAATGTAGTCAAGTTGCTAGCAAGCATTTCACTTTGTAACTGTCATCAGTTAATTCCAAATGAGACTGTGGGCATTGCTGTCTACGTTAAAAGGATGCATTGGGCCTGAAACTGCAAATGGTGATTGTCCCGGCAGGGTCATGTCTTGTTAGTTTAAAACATGCATTGCTACACACCAGTATTTATGCAGCAATTGTAAATTACTGTAGATATTATGTATGACTCTTATTGATAAATCTAGGTAGAACAAGGTACTGTGGGCCTGAACACTGATGTTATCCTTCACTTTTGCCAGGTTATGCTTGGATTCGAGGAGCTGGGGGGTTTCCACACTGTGTGGGAGCCATGGATGGCTGCCATATCCAAATCCGGGCACCACCAGGGCAAGCTGCAGAATTCTACAACAGAAAGAACTTTTACTCTGTCCTCCTGCAGGGGACTGTGGACCACCAAGGGCGCTTCATAGATGTTACAGTGGGAGAAGCTGTCAGGAGCCACAATGCACATATGCTAAGGCGGTCTAGAATAATAGACGCCATGGACCAAGGCATATTCCTGCCAGGGAATCCCACATTAACTATTGAGGGGGGGTGTACAGATCCCTCCTTTAATAATAGCAGATGCTGCTTACCCCATGCGCCCCTGGCTCATAACGCTGTATACAGAGTGTTAGCCCCACAGCAGGCGGCATTTAACAGGGCACACAGCAGGGCAAGATGCATTGTGGAGCGCACCTTTGGTCACCTAAAGGTGCGCTGGAGGTGTCTGGGGGCCAAGCTGCCAGTCATGGAGCACAACCTAAATGCAATACTGTGCGCATGTGCTGTGTGCTGCACAACATCTGCGAGTAGCGTGGCCACCCGGTAGCAGTGGAGACCACTGAGGAACACATCATTCCTGACTCGCAGCAACTCCAGCCAGGAGGGAACGAGGGACACCTTGAGGAGGGGAAGGCGGTGCATGCTGCAACCGCCCTCTGGTTGCAGAGGCGTCGCAGGCATTGAGGTGGCAACCTGGTGAAATCCCAGCACTGCGTGACAGTAGTCCACCCCACAGTTATACAGATTGGTGTATGTAAATATGTTTTGCATTGTTGATATAGTTGTTTGAGAAAAATGTTTTGTTTCCTATAATTGTTCAGTAAAAACTTTATTCAAAAGAACTGCTGAGCTGAGTTTTCCTGGAGTCCCCCATCCAAGAAGAATGGTATGCGACCAGTGTTCCCTCTAAGCTGAGTTAGTGTGAGCTAGCTCACAGTTTTTTAGCCTCAGGCTCACAAAATTTTGTCTTAGTTCAGGAAGGATGGCTCCAGAGCACACTAAATTATGCAGTAGCCAAATCCCTCACTCACAACTTTAATGCTAGTAGCTCACACAAGGTAGATTTTTTGCTCACAAGACTCCACAGTTTAGAAGAAGAAGAAGAGAAGAGATTGGATTTATACCCCGCCCTTCACTACCCAAGGGAGTCTCAGAGCAGCTTACAAACTCCTTTCCCTTCCCCTCCCCACAACAGACACCCTGTGAGGTGGGTGGGGCTGAGAGAACTCTGACACAAACTGCTCTTTTTCAAGGACAGCTGTGCCAGAGCTTGTGACTGACCCAAGGTCACATCAGCAGGTGCAAGTGGAGGAGTGGGGAATCAAACCCGGTTCTCCCAGATTAGAGCCTGCGCACTTAGGGAGGAGCCCGCGTCTGTAAGGAGGAGGCAACGTCAGAGTTGATCTATGTGTCTTCTCAGCAGCTGGCCGTCTTCGGCTGCGACCTCATAGGACCGGGGCCCCGTCACCCTGACCACCCTGGCCGGAATCCATGCAGGGCCCCAGGCATAGTTTCGGTTCTCCGACGCCCCAGACGAACTGATTTAACAGGGCATCTTGGATGGTGGGGGACTTGCAGTTGATCGCCAACCTGAAAACGTCGGCCATGAAAGAAGTCCATGCGCAATGCCATCTTGGACGGTCTCGGAGCGAAGTGGTCCATGAGGGCCTTGACCAGCTCCTCGTAGGTGGCGGCTTCTAAGGTTACGGGAGTGATGAGCTCACTGAGGGTTACTTCTGAGAAAACATGGTTAGGATTCTATGGTAATTCTCCCAGTGATTTCAGTGGGAGAGATAAACATATGCTGTTTTCCTTGCAGGACAATGAGGATTTTAAAATGTCTAGATTATGTCTCTGCTTATGCCCCTTTTATAGTGTATATATTTGCTAGACTATCTGTGTAATCCTATGTAGATTTACTCATTTCTAATTTTACTTGATTTCAGTGGGCTTGGACTGCAAAAAACTGCATAGGATTCCACTGTGCATTATAGAATCATAGAATCACAAAATTGGAAGGGTCCTGCAGGCCATCTAGTCCAACCTCAGCCTAGAGGATCCCTGACAAGTGTTTGTCCAGATGTTGCTTAAAGACTGCCAGTGAGGGGGAGGCAGCAGATTCTACTGTGGTACAACTCCTACTGTAAAAAAGCTGATACCTTCCGCCCATAATTTAAATCTATTATTGCGAGTCCTGTCCTCTGCTGCCAACAGGAACAGTTCCTTGCCCTCCTCTAAGTGACAGCCCTTCAGATACTTAAAGAGAGCAATCATGTCTCCCCTCAGCCTCCTCTTCTCCAGACTGAACATCTCCAAGTCCCTCAGCCTTTCCTCCTAGGGCTTGGTAACCCCAGTTGTGAGAAAAATAAGGCTGTCACCAGAACACTGTATGATAATGGGCAGGAGATGACAGGGTTATCCATGTGTTGCATTTTTATTTAAACATTCACCTTCGACACACACATACACAAAGATCCCCTTTTACTATACTGTTTGCCTACTCACTTCTTTCTTGGGTTGGTGAACACTTGCTTCTGGCCTGATATGCAAGTGAGAATTTTTATTGCTGATAAAGAAGAATAACTTTCTGGACTTGAAATCTGGTAGAAAGGATCCCTTGGGTAAGCAGTGCAATCTCTTAGAACTTGAATGTTTTTCTTTTAATAAAGATAAGTTTTATTTTAAGAAGAGACCTTTGAGTGTCTCTGCCAGTGTTTAGTGGTTTCCAAACTTGCATCATTTGCCTTTGGTAAGGAGGCATCACTACGGGGACACATGAACCGAGGAGAGTGTGGGTGGCACGGGTAAAAACGCATTTACAGATATGTGCAGCCACACACTTTTCTCACAACAGATGTGTATGGAAGTTACAGCTGGAGATGTGTTTCCCCTAAAAACAAAGAATAAATATGTGTTCTAATGATCATAAAGGAATAATTGGAATGTTAAAATAAACCAAAAAAATTTAAAAATCAGTTTTGGTGCACACCTCTAGTTTTAACAGAACTAGGGACAAAAAGCACTAAAAATGACCCGAAAGTCAGGCACACCAAACATACTTAAAAGCAGGCTTTCTTCAGAACAGAAAGGAAACAGTAGGGTGAGGTGGGTGGGCATGATGAACACAAAATTATCTGGCACAAAGAATGGGAGGAAAGAAGTGAGAGGCCTTTCCCTGACAAAGTCTGCTTAGGAAGTGGGAAAGATGAGATATCATTAAGTTAGCATGTGTCACACTTGGGCTGCCGGGAGGGGCCGAGTCAGTCGTGAGCCGAATCCAGGGTGTTTCGCTGAACAATTAGGGACTCGGGTTTGCCTCAGATTTGTTGTTGGTCAAGTTACGTTTTTGTTACTTGCCACAACGGGGGTGGTTTACTAGATGAATACGAGTGGATACGTCTCCCTCCTCTCAGTCTACTTGCGAACCACCCCCCTTCCTCCCCGGCTTCACCTGTTTTTATCCCTTATTCGTTCAGCATCCACACCTGTTCTGCCCACCACCCACTTCTTAAAGTAGCTGAGCCACCAGCCTGGGTTCCAGGGGATTTGGGTCTCGTTCCTCCACCCACCAACCCTGTCTCCAGCGGTCAGGTCCTTGTCGTCCCGCCCAATGGGTTCCGCGCCCTCGACCCCCTCCTTTCTTAGGGTTCTCGCCCCTCTGTGGGTGTTGGGCCAGGATCCTGGGACCCCCCGGGAAAGGTCTAGGACCGTATTCCTTCTGCTGGCGAGTGCTAACTGGGTGGTTTCCTGCCTAGTCGGGAGGGGGTTGACATTGCCCTCCTGACAGCATGAAATGAGTAAAATAGGCCAGTTGAACTGGCCAGCTGGCCTGTGCTAGAAAAAGCAGGTCCTGAACAGGAGATGACTGGCCATCCCTACAGAGAGAAAAAGAGGAAATCCATTTTTTTGTGACGATTACAAGTGTTTCAAAGCCCCAAACACAGCAGCTTCAAGACAAATGTTATAAAAGAACCCCCCACATTTCTTTACACAATCTGTTGTTCATGTGCCATTTCCCCCTACACAAAGGTTATCTTTGGATACAAGAAATGGTATTTGTGAAGCAACCCTGTATGAAGTGATCATGTTTGGGAACATACCTGTATCTTGCAGGGTGGTCTGCAGCCCTTCCATAAAACTCTGTCCAATATTCAAAAGGACTGGTTCAAACAGCACCCTCAGAGTGTAAATTCGACATGCCAGAGGGCAGGTTTCAATTTTACGTTTGCTTTCCATTGTGTGTTGAATGCCATTTATGGGTGCCCTGCCCTTATAGCCCCTGGGGGTAGTAAGAAGCCCCATCCCCTGCTCCCAGGCCACAAGGAGCCAGAAGCAGCCAGGTAAGCTGCAGATTCCCCCCCCCCAGCGAGGCGCAGAGCTTGGGTAAGGCCTCCGGAGCCCCGCTGCCCACCTTTCCTGGCACCTGGCTGGTGTGGGGTGGCGGCAGCAGCTTGATTGGGGAGGTGGGCCATGGAGAGTGGCGGGGCCTTGATGGGGGTGAGGGAGCCGCAGGGAGGTGGGGGCTTGTTCAGGGGGGTTTGAGAGCCTCCCTCCCCATCTGTTTGCTTTCTTTCTTTCTTTCCCTCCTTTTCTTCTCTTTCTTTCCCTTTCTCTGTCCTTTTTTCCTTCATTCTTTCTTTTTCCCCTCCTTCTTTCCTTCTCTCTCTCTCTCTCTCTCTCTCTCTCTCTCTCTCTCTCTCTCTCTCTTTCTTTCTTTCTTTCTTTCTTTCTTTCTTTCTTTCTTTCTTTCTTTCTTTCTTTCTTTCCCTTCCCTCCTTCTTTCCTTCTCTCCCTCTCTTCCTCCTTCCTTCCTTTCCTTTTCCTTCTTTCTTTCCTTCCTTCCTATCTGCACAGATATCGGGGCTTGGCCCCCTGACTTCCATGCAGCCCCCAGCCCCCCCCAACTCTCTGGGCCACCTGGAGGACTCCTTACTGCCGTCCCTTCCCCAAGAGCAGCTTGCTTCCCTGCGTAGGCAAGCAGACTGCAAACACTGCAAAAGTGAGTTTTTTAAATTTTATTTTTTTATTCTGTGATGTCAGTGCCCCCCAACTTATTTAAAGGCTCCCTAAATTACAAAATCCTGGCTACGGCTCTCCCTCCTCTGTGAGGGCAGATCTGCACATCCCCCCCCAATAGCTAGCAATCCAAAATAGTCCAGTGGAGCCTGAGCAGTGGGTGTTGCCTTCTGACACACTTCCAGTGATGTTGGGGGTGTGTGGCATATGCAAATAAGTTGTGCTAATGAGTTATGCTAATGAGCTCCTGCACCTCTTTTTCTGCAAAATGACTCCTGAGTAGGACTGTTCTGGGACTGGAATGAGAGACCACAATGTGGAATGGCAGTCCTTGGGGGTAGAAGCAGTATTCTGGGTCTGGAATGCCAGGCCTGTACTAAAAAGAAGGACAGGATTGCCCACTGGAAACAATGGAAAACACTTGAAGGCCCATTGGAAATAATGGGAGCCAGGAATACCAATTGACTTGCATGGGCTCCATTGAAATACATTACAGGACAAGAAGAGTTGCAATAAAAACGCAGAATGGATTTTTCATTAGGGTCTCTGGGCCCAAACACACTACGACTACTCTGGGACTGGAAAGACAGGCCCAAGCATGGAATGACAGCCCCTAGGAGTAAAAGAAGTGTTCTGGGACTGAAATGAGAGGCCGCAGAATGGAATGACAGCCCCATGGGGTAGCAGAAGTTGAATGACATGCCCCAGAGTGGAATGATAGCCCCAGGGGGTAGCAGGAGTGTTCTGGAATTGGAATGAGAGACCAGGGAGTGGAATGACAGCCCCTGGAGGTAGCAGATGTGTTCTGGGACTGGAATGAGAGACCATGGAGTGGAATGACAGCCGGGGGGGGGGGTAGCAGAAGCATTCTGGGGCTGGAATTACAGTCCCCAGAGTGGAATGACAGCCCCTGGAGGTAGCAGGAGTGTACTGTGACTAGAATAAGAGACCTCGGAGTGAAATGACAGCCCCTGGGGGTAGCATGATTATTCTGGGAATGGAATGACAGGCCTCAGAGTGGAATGACAGCCCCTAGGGGTAGCAGGAGTGTTCTGTGACTAGAATGAGACACCATGAAGTGGAATGACAGCGCCTGGGGGTAGCAGGTGTATTCTGGGAATGAAATGAAAGGGCTCGCTCACTAGGCAAACTAGACTCTTGCCTAGGGCGGGGCCATCATGGAGGCGCCGGACTGAGCCACCCTCCCCCCCAAAGTGCTGCATGCCCTGGCCACTGCCACCTCTTTCCCCCCCAATGACTTTCTGGGTGCCTGCTGCTCCAGCGCGCCCCTTCGCTGCCCGGCACAGTACTCTGGCTCGCTCGCCCACTTCAGAGAGGAGCAGCGGCAGCAGTGGCAGGAGCGGCAGGGCTGGGCGCAGCGTTCCCAAGAGCCCGGGCCCATGAATGGGGCTTGTGCCAGCCAGGCTTGGAGACGGAGGATCCTCAGGCTGGACCTGCACAGAGTTCTCCCTGGGCACCCCCCTCCCTTCAGGCGGGCAGCCAGCCAAGGAGAATAATTTGGGGCCGAGGGCTTCCCCTCCCCAAGTTATCCAGACTATTTCCTGTCAGCAGCATTTACCCACTCCCTCCCCCTTTGCAGTTAAAAATAAACACTTCCTCCTGAACCCCTCCTGCTAACCATTTTAAAACTGGTCTGGCAGGGTCTGCCTCCCCCCCATCTTGAAAGTCAAGCAATGAGCATTTTTTAAAGTGGTAAATAGTAATAATAATATAAT